ATTATTATTATTATTATTATTATTGTTATTATTTTCAGCCACAGTAAGAGAATTTTGCATACCTTAGAGTACTAGAGCATCACGTTCTCTGCTCTGGCAGTATTAACAGGGTTTCTGTGTGTTTTTCTGCTGCATCTACTCTTGCTAGGTAACATGATGGCATCTATTTATGCCTCTAAAAAGTGCCTGCTCAGAAACTCGTTTGTATTTCATGAATTCCAAATGTGTCACAGCCGATTTCCCATTCTGGGCGAGAAAGCTTTAGATAAGACCATGTTCACAACACAAGGCAACGGAGAACGCTGCGCTCAGCCTTTGTGCCTCTTACAGGGACTCTTGGCCACAGAGGCGTACTTCACTTTCCAGCCTGTATCGGGAAATAAATATATATTGGACTCCTTTTAGAGTAACCTTACACCCAACTGCCAACTTTGCAAGTGCAAAAATACTGTGTGCGTGCTCAGTAAATGATTTTCAAAGGCTCTGAGCATCCATAAATGAAATCCAGATTCCTCAGAACTAAGCAGAGGTGGAAGGCTAGGCCCATGGCACGTGTTTGTGTTTAACCTTGCCTGTTTCAGCAGCTGGCCAACTCAAAGAAAGCACGGCATAGACTTTCTTATACTAGAAAAAAATTTCTCTACTTTTTTTTTATTATTATTATTATTCCACATGAAAAACACATTATTTTCCCCCTTGACAAACTTAAAAAATTAAGAACTTCAAATAGAGACCGCACATGAAGAACTTCACCCCTACATGTCTAGTTGAGATGGCTACCCCTGAAAACCTTGCGGTTGGTGAACTCAGTGAAGAAAGATGCCAACTCCCCTGGTGAAACAGCAACTACTATTTTGCAGCTTCTGCGGAGGTGGGTAATGGGCCTGCAAAAGAGCCTCTCTGTTCTCCTGGAGAAAAGTCTGTTGTGACAAATATAGCAAGCAGTGGCACAAATCAGAGAAGACCATAGTGTTTTTTTTCCCCCAGAGCCTTTATTGTCATGGAAAATCCACACTCTAGAGTATAGCTCCCTCCAAGATCCAGAAAAGTAACTAACACATTTCAGACGAGTACATGGGGGAACAGTGACTGAGGCCATCAGGAAAATCTCCCACTCTGGTGTAAAATAGTGCTGGGTCCTTACTGTGCACACCGAACAGACAACCCTGATGCTTTTGAAGCCCAATCTACCAAACAGTATAGGGGACGAATAAAGGGAAGAAGTTATATACCATTTAAATCTGATGGAAGAGCTTGACTTAGCCTTTCTGCTGCAAGTAATTTCCCAATGTTTTGCATTGGAAGGGACCCCTAGAGGTCATCTAGTCCAAACCCCCTGCAGGAGCAGGGACACCGCTAACTAGATCAGGTTGCTCAGAGCCCCGTCCAACCTGGCCTTGAATGCTTCCAGGGATGGGGCCTCCACTACCTCTCTGGGCAACCTGTTCCAGTGTTTCACCACCCTCATTGTAAAGAATTTCTTCCTTATATCTAGTCTAAACCTACCCTGGTTTAGTTTAAAACCATTACCCCTTGTCCTGTCACAGCTGGCCCTACTAAAAAGATTTTCCCCATCTTTCCTATAGGCCCCCTTTAGGTATTGAAAGGCCGTAATCGGGTCTCCCCGCAGCCTTTAAAATACTGTTTGACCAGGGTAACATGGAGTTATCCTGCAGAAATCTTTCAGGGTAATTCAACTCAGAGTTAAAATTCAAAGCTAACATTGAGCACCTTTAGAGGTGAATACACAAGATGATAGCTTGGGATTTAAGAGTGATGACAGCAACAAAATGTGTCCTGCCTCAGTTTCTCCAACAGTAAAATGCAAATAGTGGTATCTGCCCCTTTTCAGGAATTTCTGAAAGATCCATGAATAAGAAGCACTATTCCAAGACCTTTACCACTCATATCGACAACGGAAATTAATTTTAAATCCTCCTCAAGGATCAATGAAAAGAGAATTCAAAGGCATCTGATCATATGTAGGGGTAATAAGCTTTAAAATCAGCACAGCCTGAATACAGATGAGAATCAAATTTAAATATCAGCAGGGTTCAATATAAAAATGTATCTACCATTGGGAACCTGTGCAAATAGCCCACCTATAAGTTGTGCAGACACAGACTGGCTTGGGCGACATAAAACTCGTGTGTGCCAAGAAGAAATTAATGCTTCCCTTCCTAGGGGGTGGCATGGTAGGGTCTTCACACCTATGCGGGCCTCAGGTAAGGATAACAACAATGCCGCTGTCACCCCTAGTTTTGCATCCACACCTCTGGCAGCGCTGGTGGCCTAAAAGCACCTCAGTGTGGGTGCAGCTGGGGTACCAGGCACACCGCTGGCAGACCCCTGCCAGCTCAGGTGGGGTTTTTTTGATTGTTTTCACCTCGGCAGAGCTTTCCCTTGAGGCTGGGCCTGTGCAGGCGCCCTACAGCCTCCTCCTTCCTCTGAGGTGCTGACCCTGGCCTCAG